AAAAGTGTGGATTATTGTAACCTGGATTAAAAGTGTGGATTATTGTAGTGAAGCCTTCGTCTTCAACCATGGACAGAGGCCTCGTGTCAGTGACGATCATGTTCAGGATGTTTCAGTGAAGACAGCTGCTGCTGTGGTGTCCATGATGTCTGTCCATCATGAAGGATGTTGTTGTTTGTTGTTGTTGTTTTCTGGAATGAGACAGTAAATATGTATTATATCATAATTTACAGCAACTCAAGACATGCCTTGTTTCACTTATAGTTCAGGAAAAAGTAGCTAAAAGAGCAATTAAACACACACACACAAAATATTTAATTACACACATTTGAGTAAATCTAATTATTTTAAATTCCTGTTTAAATGCAAATCATCCTGCCATACATGCAGTGTCTTCAGACTTTGCCAGCAAATTAAAAGTTGAAGCTTAATCATTAAATTATTAGTTTGTGTTAGATTTATTTATAAATCACATTTAAACACTGCTTGTACCAATTAAATTAATAAAATAAAATAAAAGTAAGACGTTCTCTATCACCGTCATTCATCAACAAACAAACAAACAAACAAACAAACAAACAAACAAGCAGCTTCAGCTCCAGAGACACTGACGTCCGTGTTGTCACTTGGAAACAGAACAACGTGAATATTGTAGAGACTCACTGCTGCTGACTCACCACTTTTACTTCTTCCTGCAGTTTTTCTTCTGAGGAGCCTCCTCACATCATCTACGAGATCCGCATGAGAAGAACGGTTCAGGAGAACATCTACACTCTGGACTAGAGCGTGCATGGACTAGAACCACTTGTGAACAATGACAGCACCTTTACACAACCCGAGTGGACCTGAGCAGAACCACACCTTCACTCTGAAACCTGCTGTTTGTATAAATATGTTTTTTATGAATGTGAGTTTTAACTGTTGTTGTGCTTTTATTATTATTATTATTGTTATTATTGTTGTTGTTGTTGTTGTTGTTGTTGTTGTTGTTGTTATTATTATCTGTGCAAAGTAATGCTGGTTTTCTAGTTATCATTAAAGAACGTTGTGCTCTGTCAGGGGTAATTTTGTTTATTTTTTCTGCGTTAAACTGAAGATAGCTCCTCCCACAAGTCTCTAAAAGTTGAGACATTGTAGCTTTCAGCTACTTTCTGCTCTTAGCTGGTGTTTAGCTACCTTTAGTTTTTGTTCTACTTTGAGTTTTATGAACGTTCTGTAAAGTCCCTCGACGTTCACAATGAACCTTCAGACAAACAGCTCAAGCACTAAATAACACAAATTACTGTCATTATTTGTAGTCATCTAAAAAAGTTAAATCTGGTTCTCTGGACATTAAAAAAACAACAAAAAAATGTAGAAACGTTTCGTCTCTCATCTGAAACACTTCCTCAGTCTGAGGTGCTGTATTCAGCTCAGTCTTATAAATAGTACTCATCCCTTTAGTTGGCAGCTCAGAACACCACATACAGAACACCATGGACTTTGTGGACAAGGTGAGGGATGTCATCATGGAGACTGATGAAACAATGGTCTCTTTTGATGTCACATCACTCTTTACATGCATTCCTGTTGATGATGCAGTAGAGGTGGTCAGTTTAAGATTAAAATCAGACACCACTCTGAGCAGCAGGACCACACTTTCCACAGAACAACTGTGTCAACTCTTGAAACTGTGCCTGCAGTCAACCTACTTCACATATGGGGAGCAATATTATAGGCAGAAACATGGGTGTGCTATGGGGTCTCCAGTTTCTCCTATTGTTGCCAACCTGTACATGGAGGAGGTAGAAAAGAGAGCCTTGACGTCTTTTTCAGGGACACCACCAAGTCATTGGTTCAGGTATGTTGACGACATCTGGGTTAAAATCAAATCTCAGGAAGTCCAACATTTTACTGACCACATCAACTCTGTGGATAAATACATCAAGTTCACACGAGAAGATGAAAAAAATGGCAAGTTGGCTTTCTTGGACTGTGAGGTCTCAGTCTCTGATAGAGGACATTTGCAAACCGAGGTGTACCGCAAACCCACCCACACAGACCAGTATCTGCAGTTTGACTCCCATCACCCTTTGGAGCACAAGTTAGGAGTCATCAGGACTCTGTACCACAGAGCAGACAGCGTCCCCACTAGCTCAGGAGCCAGGCAGAAGGAGAAATCCCACACAAAACAGGCTCTAGAGCAATGTGGATATTCTAACTGGGCCTTCCTGAAAGCAGAGAAGAAACCCAAACAGGACTCCAGTCAGCCATCAGGTGAAAAGGAGGAACCCAGACCCAGACCAGTGGTCATTCCATATGTTGAGGGAGTATCAGAGAAACTGAGACGTTTATTTTCTAAACATAACGTCCCAGTGGCTTTTAAACCCCAAAATACATTAAAGACTGGTTCATCCCAAAGATCCAGTCCCCCGGCACAAACAGAGTAATATTGTGTATGTTGTTCAGTGTCAGGAGGGTGATCAGTCTTACATCGGGGAAACAAAACAGCCACTGGCCAAAAGGATGGACCAGCACAGAAGATCAACATCATCAGGCCAGGACTCTGAGGTCTACACTCATCTCCAGGCCAGCGGTCACTCTTTCAGGGATGAAGATGTTCACATCCTGGACAGAGAGGAACAATGGTTTGAGAGAGGAGTAAAGGAGGCCATCTTTGTGAAAATAAACCGTCCATCATTAAACAGGGGTGGAGCCTCCGGGTTCAACTGTCCCCCTCTTACAATGCTGTGATTGCTAGTATCACTCAGCCCTCTGTGAACAGTAAACAGCCATCAGGTGCTAATGATCCATTGTTAGGCTGATGGTCCTTCTTGAGCATGTGATCAGCTGGTTCTGGTTGTCAGCAGCAAACTGGTTGATCCACTCTGAGAAGGTGCTATTTAAGAGACTGAGCTGAATACAGCTCCTCAGACTGAGGAAGTCCTCAGGATGAGAGACGAAACGTTTCTACATTTTTTGTTTTGTTTTTTAAATGTCCAGAGGACCAGATTGAACTTCATTCATTTAACCTTTATTTCTACAGGTAAGTCCCATTGAGCCTCGAGGACTCATGTACAAGAGAGACCTGATTTCAACAAAGAAAGATGACAACAATGGACAACAGCAACAACAATAAACAGTTATAAAAAGTCATACTGCAGGTTTTTTTTTTTACAAATAGGATGGCTAAAAGGAAAAGGTAACAAAAAACAAAAAAACAAATAAAAAACAAAAAAACAGCTAGATTCCAAGACAAATGTAGAAACTAAAAACAGGAACATGTCTGCATTGGTCCCTGCCAGGAGTCCAACAGATTCTTAAAGACACTTATTCTTAAAGACACTTATTCTTAAAGACACATTCTTAAAGACACATTCTTAAAGACACTTATTCTTAAAGACACATTCTTAAAGACACTTATTCTTAAAGACACTTATTCTTAAAGACACATCTAACTGTTTTAGATGAACTGAACTGAAATTGTCCGTCATTATTTTAATTATCTTTAATAAACCATCCAGGACACAACGCAACAACACAACCGCACATTCACACAAACAAGTCGAGCAGAGACACGATGGTCCAGACAACTCTACAGAGAAGACACGATGGTCCAG